GCTCTGTGTCATACCTGCTCTGTGTGTCATACCTGCTCTGTGTGTCATACCTGCTCTGTGTCATACCTGCTCTGTGTGTCATACCTGCTCTGTGTGTCATACCTGCTCTGTGTCATACCTGCTGTGTGTGTCATACCTGCTGTGTGTGTCATACCTGCTCTGTGTCATACCTGCTCTGTGTGTCATACCTGCTCTGTGTGTCATACCTGCTCTGAGTCATACCTGCTCTGTGTCATACCTGCTCTGTGTGTCATACCTGCTCTGTGTGTCATACCTGTTCTGTGTCATACCTGCTCTGTGTCATACCAGCTCTGTGTGTGTCATACCTGCTCTGTGTGTGTCATACCTGCTCTGTGTGTCATACCTGCTCTGTGTCATACCTGCTCTGAGTCATACCTGCTCTGTGTGTCATACCTGCTCTGTGTGTCATACCTGCTCTGTGTCATACCTGCTCTGAGTCATACCTGCTCTGAGCTGGAACCTGTCTGTCTGATGTTTCATGTATCTGTCAGAGCTGTAAAGTAACTAAGTACAAATACTTTGTTACTGTACTTCAGTAGAAGTTTTGCGWATCTTTACTTGAGTAATTATTTTTCAGCCTACTTTTTACTTCTTACATTTATAAAAAGTCGAGAAGTATAAAGTTGTTCCTTTTATTTCATTTCTGCAGTTTTTGGGGAGGTCACCTCCTAATAAATGTCCTTACAGAAAATCTAACTGCTCATTTTAAATCTACACTTTGACTTTTAATACTTAACTACAACAAATATCACATACTTTAACACTTTTACTTAAGTATCACTTTGTGGTACTTTATATCAGAGGTTCTCAAACTGGGCTCCTGGACCCCCGGGGGTCCGCGAGCTGGKTCTTTATTATCTATTTTCTATCATTGCAGTAACAATCTGCACAAAGTGACCGGACAGCTGTTGACCTGCAGCCTGAAGCTCAGGTGTGCCTCACCTGCTGCCTCACCTGCTGCTTCCTGTTGTGTTCAGGCAGGTGAGAGAAGCAACTAGGCTAACAGAGATGCTAACAGAGATGCTAACAGAGTTCAGCTGTGTAAACACAGGTCAAAGGTCAGAGCTACACTCAGTCTTGAGTCCAGGTCCAGGTGTTTGGTTTTAAACCTGAGGTCGGACCGAGCAGCTGAAAACTTACCTGCAGAGAAACAAACTGCTCTTCCTCACTTCCTGTTCCGACAAACGTGCTCGCGCTCCGCGCAGCGACGAACCCGCCCCTTCAGCTTCCCGCGAAAACAAAATTAAACAAAAACAAAAAGTTTATTAAAGTCTAAAGAAGTTTTCAGCTGCTTCACATCGCGAGCTGACAGCGACGCTTTTATTTCCGGTTTGCAGCGGCTGACTCAGCGTTGAGTTGACGTCACTTCCGGTCTCTAAGGCCCGGATGGTCCAAGCTCGTTTGAACTCTTTTCACTTTGTTGTTTTCACCAGTGTTGTATAAAGTACCACAAAGTGTTGTATAAAGTACCACAAAGTGTTGTATAAAGTACCACA